TGCTTAGAAGCATGTAATTTGCATTGTAAAAGAAATCAAACGTTGATAATATTTCTAAAGTGGACCAACTTACTTCAGTTTAATTAAGCTAGCTAATTCAGTATAATTTAAATTTCATTTTCAACTAAAATGATTTGTTATCCAGGGTTACTTTTAGGCTGTTAGGGTAACTAAAACCCCTTAATAAACCCTTTAACCCTTTTTCAAAGAACGCTGATAAAAACGTCATTGATGTTTTTAGTTTTGTCATGAACTTTCATAAAATCAATAGTATGACTTATTGAATCACCTGTGTGATATAATGGTAAGTTTTATCGAATGGATTATTCTCAGAGAAAGCAAGAGTTTCTGCCACCAAATATTTATAATAAATTTTTTTTTTAATATTAATATTGATACCATTATGCATTAAGAGTTTCTGCATTGATATTGTAAATCTACCATTAAACTAATTGTGGAAGAACACAATTTAGAACAGCTATTGAAAAAAAAATTAAGATTTCGAATTATAATAAAAGTTAAAATATTTTAATTTCCTAACTATTCAAAAATTTATTAATTTAGATAAAGAACAGAAGCTTAAACTTTTGTATTAAAAAAACTGCGTGAATAAACTAATTACTTAACAAAATCAATTAATAAAAATCGGAAAATAAAAACCATGAAATAATAACGATTGCAAGGCTGTTAATTTAGGAGATAAAATAAAATAACATTGACTTAGCAATCAAAAATGAATACATTTTTATGTGCTTTTCTATTTATTTCCTGCGTCATCAAACACTAATTTTTCTCACAGAACGGAACGGAACTTGCGAAGTTGAGTTATTACTTTCAGGTTTCGAATTAACTGCCACTAAAGCACAACACATCTTAAAATTGAAGGTTTAGAATACACAACGCGTTTCGATAGAAACAAAAACGCAGAGGTGGTCAAAAAAATCGCTTAAAGATCAAAACTTCTCTTCTACGAATTCAAACATAATATTCGTCGAAAAGGATCACTTTTTTAAAATATTAAAATTTTTGGTGACATCATCTTTATTACAATAACCTGAAGATTTTTTTCTTATTTATTCAAATGAATAATCTCAAAGGTTGCCACTAATTTTAAAGCTGTGGCATAGCATAAACAACGGGGTTTTGCCCTTTTTCTCCAAATAATGTAAAATAACTCAATAATTAAACATCATCCAAAACAAACAACAAACTAGTAACATTTAATAATTCTAGAATGCTGGAACAAAGCTTTTATAAAAAAAATCGTGTAACATCATTTTAATCACATTCAACACAAAGCAAGGAATTTTAATTGAGTAACATATCTTTTACGAAAAATTATAGGTTCAATATTAAGTGATAGCATCAGTTGTTCTAAACTGGAGCCACTCCTTTACTCGTCGCCAAATAAAAGAAATAAATAAGAACTGACGATTGTAATAATGTTGCGCCATCTTAAATTCTTAAATTAAATTAAAAGAAAATCTATTGATATTAATCATATTAATATCAATATTAATCATATTAATTTAAAATTGATAATTAATAATTAATTAAATCATCTTAAATAAAAAGAAAATTGATTGATATCAATAATAATAATATTAGAGGATTTATTGACTTAACGCATTATTAATTAATACATACTTAAGAAATAGCAATGCTAGTACAAAATTAGAATGATAAGCGTCATAATAATGGTGGTAGCTAGAGTTTTTTTTTAAAAAAATCGATCGCTTTTTGCTATGAAAATAACCATTTGATGTTTCTTCATTAATCATTTTCTTTTATCATATTAACAATCTTTTTCTTTACATTTTTATAAGTTGTTTTCATTTTATACAAATTATTATACGTATTATAAACAACGTATCATTTATAAAATCAAATCAAATTTATACTTCAATGCAAAATGCTTTATGTTTTATTGAAAAGTTGTTGACATTTCTTCCTAAAAAATGTTTTTCGCGCCAACGTAATTAGTTTTCGGGAAATTTTAATTTAAACAGAATAAAGCATTTTATAAAAAATAAAAAGCTTGCAAAATATTTACGAAAATGAAATTGCACACACAAAAATTGAATTATTTTTCTGCCTTATGAATTATTTAATATTTTTAAGTAAAATGACTGCTATCAAGACTGTTTGTAACTATAAAAGTTGTATAAAATTTGAAATTTTTAACATGAATTTTAAATAAATTGTATTGTTACTTATTGTCTATTACTTATTATTAAATGTAATGCATTAAAAAAACAAACGGAAAATACTTCCAAATTCTTTTTTCAGATATTAAAACCGACTTATTCAGATATTAAAACAGATTTACTTAAGGATTGTTCGGTAGTTCAAACAATATATTAACATTTAAAATTTCCTTTTTTGACACTCTGAGAGCTAGAGGTTGAAGCAATTATTTTTCATTGATCATTTTTACGGAAATTTTTTTTTCTTTCCAAAATCACATTGAGAGGCTTGGGAATCATTTAAATCGATGACATATATGAATTTAATTGTTGTGCCCATTTTTTACTCTGTTGTGTTACACATAGTTGATTTTAAGAGATTAGACACAAAACACTGCTTACAAGACTTTCAAGTGACTGGAATACTTTCAGTCAGACAAGTCACATAAAACCATACACGTGACTTCAATGAAGTAAACTTGCCAGAAAGCAAATGAAAGAATAGAGTTAGAAAAGACGCAAAAAACATCCCAGTGACTTTAAAAGGACAAGTCGTGCAATGATTCTCTTGTGACTTTTATCCCAGAAAAGCATAGTTGTGACTATCAACTGACGAAAATCACAATAAATAGTTACCGAAACTTTCATATAAGATCCCAAGATAAAATAACATCAAAGTCACATTAAGAACTCTTCAGGACAATTTAAAATGGTCATACCTGTGACTGTTTTTGACATTTTATGACGTCACTATGACAATCTGTGTTATCTGGGTAGATATTAGAAACGTTCAATAGTTCTTTTGTCATTATTTTAATATCACTAAATGGTATTAGATAATAGTAGATATCCGAAGGTACAAAAAGAGTGCAGTTTTAAAAATCACGTTAGTACACATAATTGTGTTTACTAGAAACATATATACGTTACTAAAAACACAAAACCTAAGAGTATATATAACCTTAAATAAAGATTCTGACAAAATTAATAATTATTTCAATTCTTTTTAATAAAATTGCATTCTTTGACTGTTTTGAAAATAACCGTAAACCTTTTAAAATAACCTTAATAATTGAAACAACCAGAAAATAAACTTAAATCCAACAAACGTGAACTGCATAAATTTGAACTGCTCTTTTTCTTAAATTATTATTGTTTTGATGAACGCAAGCTTAAGTTTACTTCCGCATAATATGCTAATCTTTGCTTAGAAAATATATTTTCTCGCGTAATAAGAATTATTTCATTTATTGTTATTTACTTTATACATAATCAAAATAAATTAACCTTATAACTGCAATGTTTTCAGTGGAGAGCAAGATTCAATTTTTTTAATGATACATCCGACCGGATAATGATGTTGCCTCTTGTGCGACATGAAAGAAAGAAAAAGTAGGTGGGAAAGCAAAAGTTCAAGATGTTTCAAAGCTGAAATATTTCAAAAAATGAAGCTTTTAACAAGCAAAATTGCTGTTTTAAAATTTAACGGCATTCTACTCCAAATAGATTTATTTTGGCTTTATACTAACCAAAGATGTTCGATATCGACCAAAAAATCTTGTAAAAGAAGATATATGGATTTATTGGTAATTAAATCTTCTTTCTTCACTACTACAGTGAATTCCCTTTACAGCGAAATTAATTTGTTCCAGTTAAAAAAATTCACCTTAGTGCTAATTTTGTTATAGGGAGATAACAGCTTTTTAAAGTATTTTTAGTAAGTTTTGCAATATTTTTAGTAGGCGTGATAAGTTCAAAAGTACATAATTTTATCACTAATCTATAAAACAAAAGGCGAAGAAAAAGACTGAACTGACTGAAACCCTAAGATGACTGCAAAAATTAAATATAAAATCTTAAGTTACTTAAAAGTCATTTGCAATTTTGTTTTTACGCATAATCACTCGGGGACCCTTAAAAATCTTACTTCCTATAAAGTTTATTAAAAAAAATTAAGAAGAAACACATTGCCTTTCATTTTTGTTAAAATACAAGGAGGTTCTGCCCCTTGTTCGATTCGCAACCTGACCCTCGTGGCTTGCTTCTCATTAAAAATGCAGAGTATACGACACAATAAGCAGTAATAAATGTAAAGAAATTTTATTTCTTAACAATATATAGCACAGATTGTCGGAAGTAGTGATCATAAGAGAGTGAGTTCGAGTACGGATCAAATGAAAGCGGCTTAAATACAGATGCTGGTTCTTGTTCTCCATTGTTGCTTCCTCCACTACTAATGCAACAACCTCCTCTGTTTCCACAGAAGCAGGTTTCGTTCCCCCAAGTGCAACAATAAAGTAAGCTGGATTCCGACCCTTGTTTCTTTCGACAATATTGCATACAGCGGCATTTCTCTTCTGGTGGTGACATATTGATCTGTTTTTGTCGGAAATTAAATTCAAATTACTTCCTTTAAACTATTACCAAGTTCGATAACATTTTGTATAGTAGTTTTCCTTTTATGACCACTTAAAGTGCGAATTTTAATTATAACTATCCCGTATGTGATGCCGTGTGTAAATCAAATAGGGCCAATCCGTGGCAATACAGAAATAAAATTAGCTTTGTGCTTTGTAGCAGATGGTTTGAAATTTCACTGACCAATAGCTTCCAACGGTTTTCAAGTTGGTTATGAGATATGTAATGTATCATAAGTTTTAGTTATAAGAAAAGTATTAAAAAGAAAATTAATGCTTTAGTTATGTCATAAAAACAGGAGTTTTGATTCTCTAATTGAGTAAAAAATTAAAACTATGATATACTTTGGTGTAAATGTAAAACTATGTAGTTGATAAAACTGTTCCATGAATATGCTTTACTCGACGTATTATGCTTAGCATCGTTGTATATTACAGATGCAAAAATGAAACCTACAGTCAGAATCTACCTAAGACTAGCATCATCATTTGCTTTCACAATGAAGCTTGGAGCACTCTTTTGAGAACGGTTCACAGTGTTCTGAATAGATCTCCGGCAAATCTTATAGAGGAGATAATACTCATCGATGATTTCTCTGAATTGGGTAAGTAAATTACTATTCCAGAGAAAGTAGTTTGACGGCAATTATTGAAAAAACTTCCCAAAACAAAAGTTGCATTAGTGATTTGGTTTGCGTTTCTAGTGTTCTGCTGCATGGTGCGACTGTCATTTTTCCAGTAACAGTTATTATTTGCGTGCAATTTCTCTACTTGTGAGTTAGAAATCTTTAAGCATCGAGTGAATTTCTACCGGAAAGACCAAAACATCGCTAATATTCACTTTTATGTTTTTTCTATTATATTAACTGTTTTTATCGCATCATATCTTATACGGCAAAAATCTAATGCTATCGTCACACGTAGTTAATGAAAAACATCACCTGATTTACTATTAGTAAGAATATAACGATGATCGAGATTTTTTCACTTTAAGAATCAGTTTCTTTAGTGGCATGAAACTGAGCAACAGAATGAAACATTTGAAAAATCAACATGAAACTATTAAAAGTTATGAAAGTATAGTTTCCATGTAAAATATTATTTTTGTCCCATATCTATATAACATTTCTCTTCTACGGCAACAGAAAAACTTTTATTTTTTCATATTGTAAATAAAGAGCAGGAATATCAGGGAATTGAGCAGAGAGAAGCATGAATCCTTAAACGTACAAGTTAAACATTTTTTGAATGGATAATTATATTTTCTCTGGGACAACGAAAAGTTATAAAAAACTTTCTTCATATAAGTTATTTTCTTCATATTGAATTTTAAGTTAGAATAAAAATTTTGTGAGTATATGCAATGATAATGAATATGTATTATCTCCAAGCACTAAAATACATAATATTGTAAACCCAAGATCTTATTGTATATAAATGAAAATAAATTTTCATATTTTTAGAGCGTTATATCAAAACGAGTTACGGCATGCATGAAAAGATAGACTTAAATTCAGAAGTATACAATTAGGGAGATATGCGAAGTAATCCGAAAGTAACTGCGAAAGCAGTTTCAGAGGTTGGTGAGAACGTCGAGCAGGGGTTGGGCCCTTAGTTTAAAGGTATTTTTTAAATTAATTTTGATTTCTATTGTTATTAAAAATTTAGGACTTAAAGCTTAAGATTAAATTCATTTACCGTTTTACATTTATTAAACAATAAAATATATTAATTTTTATAATAAGCTTTCTGTGAAATTGTTCCGTCAAAATATGTACTTAAAAATGAATAATAAATCGGAATACTTTATTCTCAAACAACTTTACAAATTATCATTAAACAGCTTCTTCTTAGAATTTTTTTTATTGTAACCAAAAATTAAGTAGAAATTTAAAATTTTAAATAACGTTGCAAAGGTAACCGACGATAAAGTTAGTAAAGTAAGACAATAAAGTTCCATTTTAAATATTTTAATAAATTGAGTAATTATAAAAAATGATTTATGCCTACGAAGTGATCTTCAGAAATCTTAAAATAAATGTTTGGACACAGGAGTAATGAGCGTGAGCAACTAGAAAAGTTTTTAATAATATATAGAAAAAAAAATTAGTTTCGTGTAAAAAAAAAAAAAATTATTGCGAAACAATCATGGAAGTATGAGAGCAAACAGTAGGCTCTGCTTCAGGTATTTAAAAAAAATGACGTACACAAGATTGCATAGACAATCATAAAAACAGTGCATTAGTCCATTAGTCATAGATTACCGTCTGAAAACAGTATTTCAGTTATAGTATATGGTAAATATGGTTAGAAATGTTATTTACGATTTGTTGAACTATGTTGAAAATAACTAAAAGTATAAGAATTGATTTTAGCTGATTTCCTGAGACTCCGCAGTCATTTTTAATATTCCTTCATAATATGTATAAAGAATTTGTAAGCAACTTTAAATTGCAAGCCGATACTCAAAGCTTTTTATGCAGATCCAGTAAAAGACATTATTTTATTTTATAATGCAAAAGTATACAGTAATTTATGTTTTTTCATAACTAATCAGTAAACTAATTTATAAGACTTGGGAAAGTTTGAATTTAAGAACAATAAAAAAAGGATGCCAGAAATAAGACAAATGTATTTAATTCTGTTTTATAAACTAGCGTTAAACAGCTGACCCACTTTTAGGTGAAGCAGAATTTGGAAAATTTTTGTAGTTTTAAACATCATACAGAAGATAAGAGAACTAGCTTAGGGGAAAACTAGACTCCGTGTTGGACTTTCTGATGAAACTTACTCCCATTTGATTTAAATTTTGAAGAAAACGATGAAAATTTCCCATATAAAGCTTGACGGAAAGGGGACTCTAAGCCATATTTTGAGATAGCACTGTGATCCGTGAGAGCGAGGAGCAGAGTTGTTATCGACCAGCCATTTCTGGCACTCAAACCTGGTTCAGTGGGAGATGAGTATTCTGTCACCTGAGCCAGCGTGGTTTCAAACAAGGCATTGTAACAGGGCACTTAGATAAAAACACTCTGATTTAATAATATCTAGTGCAAACACTCGGATTCTATTTATGTTCAAAATTCTTGGACGTCTAAGCTGACTCAGCTATTCACAGCACTTTTTAATTTTTTGTCGCTTTTTTTGGGAGCATATTGCATAGAGTCTAATACAGAATTGAAGCCATTAAACTCTACACTCGATTTAGACTCTGCAGAAAATATAGCGATTTATCTTGATATTACGATTATATACTTCTATCAATAAATTGTTTGAAATCGATTTGTTAAGCCTACATTCAATCCTATCCTAAAAAATGCTATTCCATTCAGAAGTTATACTCAGACTTCTCTGAAATAAATACAAAGCAATTTAAGACTTACGTTTATTTAATTTTAATTTGCAGCTCACTTAGGATTGAAATTAGAAAAGTATATTGAATCTTTGAACAAGGTGAAACTTATTAGGGCCAAAAAAAGAGAAGGACTCATTCGTGCTCGTATGATAGGTGCTACTGCAGCCAAGGGCCCGATTCTCACATTTTTGGACTCTCACTGCGAGTGTACTCCTGGTAATATTGCCATTTTACTTTATACTATCATATGTACATACATCTTCCCTCTTATACATATATA